CACGGAGGTCGACCACTGCGAGCATCCAGGATGGCTCAGTCTGCCCGTCCACTGTCGGACGCGCGCCCGCATGCATCTTCTCGGTGCGCATGCCCAGTTTGCCTAATCGTCTCCGTGGCACGCCAGGGACATGCCGCTGCTCCCACGGGAAGGGCGCCCACAAACCTCTCCTAGGAGAACTCCCCGACGGCGTCTTTCGTACGGTCTCTAAGAAGAAGGCCTACCCCGGAGGCCTTTGCAAGGCTCTTGCCTCGAGCATCGTGGACAGTACCTGCTCTCCGTTGGATTCTCGCGATCATGACTCTGCCGGTGTGCCCCTGTAGAAATATGTTCAGGACTGCGAAGACATCCGCAGCAGCCCTATGGGATTTGCGTGCTGCCCCGGAGAGCGACATGCCCCTGATCCCCCCGCTCCTGCCCAAGATCCCGCTGGGTGCGGTCGCGGCTCCAGGCGCCAGCAGTCGAAGACGGCGCCTGAGAAGTTTCGGCTTGAGCACTCTGGCAGCGAGGAAGGCGTGCACGGTTTCCCCCGGGGCCGTAGCTCCTCCTCCTCCTCCTCCTCCTGATCATCGCCTCCGCTCTCCTCTGCTTGTTTTGTCTCTGCTCTCCTTCCTCCTCCTCCTCCTCCTCCCTCACCTCCTCCTCCTCCTTCCTCCTCCTCCTCCTCCCCTCCCTCCTCCCCCTCCTCCTCCTTCCTCCTGCTCCTCATCTCTCATCCTCTCTTCCTCTCCTCCACCTCCTCTTCCTCCTCTTCATCCTCATCCCCCTCTTCATCCCCATCCCCCTCCTCTTCCTCCTCATCCTTCTCCTCCGCCTCATCCCCCTCCTCTTTCCCTTCCCACCCCCGAGGAGCGCGTCTGACCAGGATGCCGAGACGGATCTGGCCGCGACAGGGGGAGGAAGACAACGCCAATGCCGCCGACGACGACGACCACGACGGCGATGGCTGGGCCGCGCGCCTGACAAGCCGTCGCCCAGGGAGGGCAGCGACGACTCGGGCGGGACGTCCCCGGCGCCTGGCAAGCCCGACGCCGCAGGGTGCCGCGGTGCGCCTTGAGGCTCTGAAGGACTTTGTAGGGGGGTGCCAGAGGATTTGGTGAGATTGGTGGCGTTTAGGGTCCAACAAGCATGGGCACTTCCTCCCTTCCCCTCCACCGCCTCGTGGCTTGGTCATGGCAGAGCTGCGGTGGGAGCTGGGTTGGGCCTTCACCTTCGTCTTTCTCCCTCTCTCTCTTCCCCCTTCCTCTCTTTCCCCTCCCCCGAGGCTGCCTGAGTGCTTGCGGCCAGCTTGCTAGTGCGGCCAATTCGCAGACCTTGGTTCGTTGTGGGTGTGTGTGTGGGGGAGGTGAAGCGGTAAGAGGTGATGGTGGAGGGCCTGCAGGCCAACGCAGAACCAACTCCCCACTGCGAAGAAAACCACGCGCAAGGCCAGGCTGCACTGGCGAAACCTGTGGCCTGCCTGGCGCCGAGCCGAGGCCACTGGGCGTGGCGGGCCCCGTCAGCGGGGAGAACGACGGAGTCCTGCAGAAGTGCAAGACGGAGATGGGGGGGACCAGAGTAAGCTTAAGATGCGTCAGCGATGCTGCAGTCCACCCTCCCGTCCGTAGTCCCCTGAGAGGTCCCTGCAGGCCTTCCTTTTCACTGCAGGAAGCGCCCTCTTGGAAGACCAGCACACCTTTGGCCTGCCGTTCAGTCGAGACACCCGTTTTGAAAAGGCCCTGCCTTGCATTCTCCAACCAAGTAGTCAAGAACGTGCAATCATACAATTGAGCGAAGTGGTCAACGATACCTCCGTTTCTGAAATAAGGCCCACCCCGTCCGTGTAACTGATGCATGAGCTTGTACTTGTGGCCATGCATCCCACCAGCCCTTAGGGCGTAGGTGGTCTAGAGAGCTTTCTTTTCCAACCCCCTTGTTCCCCTTGGGGGAGGGGTTTATCCCTCCCCCTACCCCCTCCTCTGGATCTGGACATGGGGTTTCGCGACGCGTTTGAGCGTCCAAGATGGCGCAAGACGGCTCCAAGTGCGCCTTAGAAAACCCAAGGTGACCTCCAAGATGGCTCAAGATAGCCCAAGATGCCCCAAAATGGCTCCCCAGATGCCCGAAGAGGCTTCAATAGTGCTCCAAGTCGGCCCCAGGTGGCCACGGAGCCTCCCCAGGAGGCCGCCAAGCCTTCCACAACCTAAGGCACATCAATATGTTTCGCTTTCTTGCCTTTTCGCTTCCGATGGCCGTCCAATGCCTCAAGACAGCTACTCAAGGGCCCATGAGGGCCCCAAGAAAGGCCCAAGCGAGCCCCAAGACGGCCCCAAGAGCGCCCTAGAGCGCCCCAAGAGCGCCCAAGAGGGGTCCAAGAGGCGATATTTGAGGTTCACGAGGGGGGAACGTAATCAGATCTCCCATCTGCTGTCCCAACCAACCTGTGTAGTTGGGTTCTCGTTTTGAAGAGACGGTCCCCGCGTTCCCTTCCTCATCTCGTCCTCTTCCCCCTCCTCCTCTCCACCGCCCGCATACGTCCCCCCCCACACACCCATTCACACACCCATTTCGGCACATCCCTCACACGTTTCGTGGCCCCATAGGGAGCTCCCTATGGAGCCACAGAGCGTATGAGGGGTGTGCCGAAATGGGTGTGGGAGACGCATGCGGGCGGTGGCACTGGGGCCTTCGGTGGAGCTCCCTGTGAGGTCACGAAACGTGTGAGGGGTGTGCCGAAATGAGCGGAGGACGAGGAGGAGGAGGAGGAGGAGGAGGAGGAGGAGGAGGAGGAGGAGGAGGAGGAGGAGGAGGATGAGGATGAGGAGGAGGAGGAGGAGGAGGAGGAGGAGGAGGAGGAGGAGGAGGAGGAGGAGGAGAGGAGAGGAGGAGGAACGCGGGGCGACGTCTGTTCAAAACGAGGACCCACCACCACAGGATGACTGGGAAAAAAAAAAGCCACCCTCTATGCAGCCGCTGCATCAGTTGACACTTCTCGTCTGAAGACTGGAAGTCCCAAGCGGGAGCCCCATGTTGAAGACCATCGATGGTTCACCCTCATTTTAGCGATGCAAGCTTTTAAGGCGAACGCGCGCGTCGCTACGGCGAGAGCCCCGTTCCGAAAAGGGGCTCCCCTCCGCCCCTGTAGCTGCTGCGAGCTTTGAGAACGAATGCGCGCGGCGCCAAGGCGAGAGCCCCCTTTCAAGCACCCCCTGTGTCCAATCTTCGTCATTGATGCAAGCTTTGGGAATAAATGCGCGTGGCGTTCAGGCGAAAACCCCAGGTTGCACACCACCTGGGCTCCATCGTTGTAGCCGCTACAAGCTTATGACATGAATGCACGCGTCGTTCAAGCAGAGCCCTTTGTCACACAGCTCCATCCTCGCAATTGCTGCGAATGCTTTTGCACGAGTGTACGCGGCGTTAACGCGAGATCCTTATTATGAAAGGAACCGCACGCCATTATTGTAACAGTTGCAAGCTTTGAGATGTATTTGTGCGGCGCTGAGGCGAGAATCCCAGCTTGAACACCACCGGTGTTCCATGCTGCATATCTTCAACGTGGATGTGCGCGGTGCTCAGGCGAGAGCCCAATGTTGAACACCGCCTATGCTCAACCCTTGCAGTTGCAACAAGCTTTTGGAATGAATGTTGACGGCACTAGGGCGCGAGCCCCATGTCGAACACCACCTGCGTTCCATCCTTGTCATCGCTGAACGCTGGTGAAATGAATGTGCGCGGCACAAGGGCGAGAACCCCATCCTTATAAATGGTGCGAATGTTGAAAGCAAGTGTGCGCGGCGCTGAGGCGGGAACCCTATTTTGAAAAGGGGCCGCCCTTCACCCATATAACTGTTGCAAGCTTTTGAAACGAACGCGCCCGGCGCCAAGACGAGTTTCGTTGTAAACACAATCTGTGCTCCGTCCTTGTATTTGTCTCAGGCAATTGAATCGAACGTGCGCGGCGCCAAGGCGAGAACTCCATTTTGAAAACGACCCCCTGCATCCGTGCAACTCTTGCGAATTCCCAACTTCAGGAGCATAAATGGTGCGGACGTCTCAAACGAAACGCCTGGCCCGCCCTACCGACACGTCTGGCGGTGCGATAGGGAGGAGTTATCTATAAAGGGAAGGGATGGGGGAGGAGGAGGAGGAGGAGGAGGAGGAGGAGGAGGAGGAGGAGGAGGAGGAGGGGGAGGAGGAGGAGGAGGAGCAGGAGGAGGAGAAAGAGGGAGACATCCTCTCCAAGGCAGAAGGGAATCTCTAGGACGAGCGCACGTGCCTCCCTCAGTGAGGGTTGGTGGGCCTGTTTTCCACCGCCACCTCCTTCCCCCCTCCAGCTTATGGTGGTGGGGCGGTGGTGGAAAGCAAGCCTATCAAAGGTGGCTTCCATTCTCTGGACTTCCTCTGGGTCCCCAGAGTATCCGTCAACATCCGCTGGCAAGGTCGGCGTATGCCAATTGTGCCCGCTTCCATGGCAATCCCCCTCGGTACAGCTGGGGACCAGGCGCTGCTTGCACCTCCATCTATATACATGTGTGTGTATATATCTATATATATATATATATGTCCGTTGGAGAGGCTGTGAGGGGGAGAAAACTCATGCAGGTAGTGATGTCGATCGGACCACGTGTGGCGCGGAAGCAATCGACCGACCAGAGCTGCCCTTGCCATGATTGGCACCATCGTCAACAAATAACCATTTGCCCAAGGACGTGGGACACATTGTGGTGGTGAAGTGAGACTGTCCACTGAGAGCATGAGTACCACGTATCGTGAACACTCCAAATCCCCCGATCCCGCCGTAGTGCACATGGTGGTGCACGTGGGCGTGCGTATCTCTCGACGTCGGTCTGGAACAGAACTTGTCCTGGCGAACAGATGGGCCACATGAAAATGGGACGTGCAAATCCACGGCAAGAAGAAACATGCAACACGTTAACGGACAAGCCAGCACAGCGTGATGGAATTCAGTGTGTAAGCGTACCGGCCCGTGCCATGCGGCTGCGTGCCCCGTGTGGTAGAATCACAAGCTGCTCAGCCCGCAAAGGAGCCCACCGAGACATCGCAGACGGGACCTCAGACTGTCAGGGGGGGTCGAGCAGCTCGGAGGAATGCAGGAAAGCTGGGCATCAGCTCCAAGAAGGAAGCTTAGGACAGCCGCGCACGCACCAACACTGCGTTCGCAAAGCGGACCACCGTCGACCAGAATCGCATGCGAAAGCAATCCACTTCACACGTATTTCCTTCAAGGTCGTCGCCGCGGAGCTCGGATGTGCGTGACAAAGTTAGCCACCGTGGAAGTCAGGTGCCCTAACAATGCGCGAGGTATCTGAGGCTGTATTTTTTGCTGGAGGCGCGACTCCAAACATTGTGCCTGGTTCGCTTAGCAACGCTTCCTCGGCCTCAGGAGGCCTCCCAGGATCCGAAATCAGTCCGAAATCATCATGAGAACATTCTAACGACACGCGTCAGCGACAAGGCGACAAAGGAGGACTCCAATGTGCCCCAAGACGGCCCCAATATTGCCGAAACGAGGGCCCAAGATAGCTGCGGAGGTGCCTCAATGTTGTCCCGAGAAGTCCCAAAGATGGCTCTAAGACGCCTCCAACATCGCTTCTCCAGAGCAAGGGAACAGTGGAGAAAAAACACAGATTCTCCCCATGTGTTCCGCGTGCCCCCAGTCTTGCTCCGAGGAGGCTCCACGCTGGGCCGAAGATACCTGTAATAGCACCCTGTCCTGTGGGTGATGATTTTGAACGGTCCACATTCGCAGACACGGGGACAACCATGGAACAACCACCAGATAACAACGAGACAACCATCGGGACAACCACAATGCAACCACGGTAGGACCACAAGACGGCCGCGGGACTCCATCTGGACAACCATCGGGACAACCACGGGACAACCGTTGGGACAATGATCCAACCACGGGGCGAACATCAAGACAACCACCGGGACAGCCATCGGAACAGCCGTCGGGAGAGTCATTGGGGCGACCCTCGGGAAACAACGATCGGACAACAGGCGAGACGCCCATTCCAGCGGGGCAGCCTCCCGGACAGCCGTCAGGACAAACCTGCCAGCCCCTTCGCCACAAGGTGGGGATCGGGGACTCCCTTTATACAGTCGGGGCTTTGACCTAAGGAACCCCAAATAAGGAACGCGGCCCCTTCTATCCATAAGCTAAACTTCGGCTTCCCATCGAAAGCCGAAGGAACACCTTGGGAAAGCTGCGAAACAATCAAGGAACACCGAGCACCTCCCCAACGGACACGGTTCCTTGTTCAGCGCCCTGACTGTATGGGCCCGAGGCCGTCGCGAGAACGCCATCGGAGGCCCTCCACACGTTCCCTCTGGGCTTGGCGCTGCGTAGCTCCCACGAAGCCGCTCCTCGCTCCGTCCTCCTCCCCGTCAGGACCGCCCCAATCAGTGCCAGGCTTTGGATTTTCCCGAACCATCCTGTGGTGTTGGGTCCTCGTGTTGAAGAGACGGTCCCCGCGTCTCCTCCCCTCCTCCTCCTCCCCCTCCTCCCTCCTCCCGTCATCATCATCGTCATCGTCATCGTCATCGTCATCGTCATCGTCATCATCAACGTCCTCATCATCGTCACCATCATCGCCATCAGCTTCGGCATCAGCTACGGCACACCCCACACACGTTTCGTGGCCCCATAGGGAGCTCCACCGATGGTCCCAATGTTGCCGCCCGCATGCGTCCCGCACACCCAATTCGGCACACCCCTCACAAGCTTCGTGACCCCACAGGGAGCTCCACCGATGGCCCCAGTGCCGCCGACCGCATGCGTCCCGCACACCCAATTCGGCATACCCCTCACACGTTTCGTGGCCCCATGGGGAGCTCCACCGAAGGCCCCAATGTTGCCGCCCGCATGCGTCCCGCACACCCAATTCGGCACACCCCTCATAGGCTTCGTGGCCCCACAGGGAGCTCCACCGATGGCCCCAGTGCCGCCGACCGCAATCGTCTCGCACACCCAATTCGGCACACCCCTCACACGTTTCGTGGACCCATAGGGAGCTCCACCGAAAGCCCTAGTGCCGCCGCCCGCATGCGTCGAGCACACCCAAGTCGGCACACCCCTCACACGCTTCGTGGACCCATAGGGAGCTCCACCGAAGACCACAATGCCGCTGCCGCCGCCCGCAGTCGTCCCGCACACCAAATTCGGCACACCCCTCACACGTTTCGTGGTCCCATAGGGAGCTCCACCGAAAGCCCTAGTGCCGCCGCCCGCATGCGTCGAGCACACCCAATTCGGCACACCCCTCACACGCTTCGTGGCACCGAAGGCCCCAGTGCCGCCGCCCGCTTGCGTCCCGCACACCCAATTCGGCACACCCCTCACACCTTCCGTGGCCCCATAGGGAGCTCCACCGAAGGCCCCAGTGCCGCCGACCACATGCGTCCCGCACACCCAATTCGGCATACCCCTCACACGTTTCGTGGCCCCATGGGAAGCTCCACCGAAGGCCCCAGTGCCGCCGCCCGCATGCGTCCCGCACACCCATTTCGGAACACCACTCACAAGTTTCGTGGCCCATAGGGAGCTCCACCGAAGGCCCCAATGCCGCTGCCCGCATGCGTCCCGCACACCCAAGTCGGCACACCCCTCACACGCTTCGTGGCCCCATAGGGAGCTCCACCGAAGGACCCAATGCCGCCGCCCGCATGCGTCCCGCACACCCAATTCGGCACACCCCTCACAGGCTTCGTGGCCCCATAGGGAGCTCCACCGAAGGCCCCCGTGCCGCCGCCCGCATGCGTCACCCACACCCAATTCGGTACACCCCTCACACGTTTCGTGGCCCCATAGGGAGCTCCACCGGAGGCCCCAGTGCCGCCGCCCGTATGCGTCCCGCACGCCCAGTTCGGCATACCCCTCACACGCTTCGTGGCCCCAAAAGGAGCTCCACCGAAGGCCCCAGTGCCGCGGCCCGCATGCGTCCCGCACGCCCAATTCGGCACACCCCTCACACGCTTCGTGGCCCCATAGGGAGCTCCGCCAGAGGCCCCAGTGGCGGCGCTCACACCCACCCAATTCGGCACACCCCTCACAGGTTTCGTGGCCCCATAGGCTATAGGGAGCTCCACCGAAAGCCCCAATGGCCGCGCTCACGTGCGTTCCCACCACCCATCCCGGCACGCCCCTCACAGGTTTCGTGGCCCCATGGGGAGCTCCACCGAAGGCCCCAGTGGCACCGCCCGCATGCGTCACCCGCACGCAATTCGGCACACCCCTCACACGTCTCGTGGCCCACAATGGGCTGCACCGAAAGCCCCAGTAGCGGCGCTCACATGCGTCCCCGCCACACATCCCGGTACACCCCTCACACGCTTCGTGGCCCCATAAGGAGTTCCACCGAAGGCCCCAGTGGCGGAACTTACACGCGTCTCCACCACCCATCCCTGCCCCCCCCCCGCATGTTTAGGGGCCCCATAGGGAGCTCCATTGGAGGCCCCAATGGCGGCCCTCACATGCGCTTCCGCCACCCATGTCGGCACACCCCGCACGTGTTTCATGGCCCCATAGGGAGCTTCACCGAAAACCCCAATGGCACCCATCTCGGCTCACCCCTCACACGCTCCGTGGTCCCGTGGGGAGTTCCACTGAAGATGAAGCCCACAGCTGCGGTACTCACAACTGCATATGGTTGGGTTCTTCGCCAGACTAACTTTTCCTAACCATCCTGTGGTGTTGGGTCCTCGTTTTGAAGAGACGGTCCCCGCGTCTCCTCCCCTCCTCCTCCTCCCCCAACTCCCTCCTCCCATCATCATCATCATCATCATCATCATCATCATCATCATCATCATCATCATCATCATCATCATCATCATCATCATCACCATCACCATCACCATCACCATCACCATCACCATCATCATCATCATCATCATCATCATCATCATCATCAGCATCATCATCATCATCATCATCATCATCATCATCGTCATCGTCATCGTCATCGTCATCGTCATCGTCATCGTCATCGTCATCGTCATCGTCATCGTCATCGTCATCGTCATCGTCATCATCGTCGTCCTCATCATCGTCACCATCATCGCCATTAGCTTCGGTATCAGCTTCGGCACGCCCCACACACGTTTCGTGGCCCCATAAGGAACGCCACCGAAGGCCCCCGTGCCGCCCGCATGCGTCCCGCAAACCCAACTCGGCACACCCCTCACACGTTTCGTGGCCCCATAGGGAGCTCCACCGAAGGCCCCAATGCCGCCGACCCCATGCGTCCCGCACACCCAATTCGGCACACCCCTCACACGTTTCGTGGCCCCATATGGGAGCTCCACCGAAGGCCCCAGTGCCGCCGCCCGCATGCGTCCCGCACACCCAATTCGGCACACCCCTCACACGTTTCGTGGCCCCATAGGGAGCTCCACTGGAGGCCCCAATGGCGGCGCTCACATGCGTCCCGCACACCCGATTCGGCACACCCCTCATACGTTTCGTGGCCCCATAGGGAGTCCACCGAAGGCCCCAGTGCCGCCGCCCGCATGCGTCCCGCACGCCCAATTCGGCACACCCCTCACACGCTTCGTGGCCCCATACGGAGCTGCACCGAAGGCCCCAATGCTGTTGCCCGCATGCGTCCCGCACACCCAATTCGGCACACCCCTCACACGTTTCGTAACCCCATAGGGAGATCCACCGAAGGCCCCAGTGCCGCCGCCCGCACGCGTCCCGCACACGCAATTCGGCACACCCCTCACACGTTTCGTGGCCCCATAAGGAGCTCCGCCGAAGGCCTCAGTGCCGCCGCCCGCATGCGTCGAGCACACCCAATTCGGCACACCCCTCACACGTTTCGTGGCCCCATATGGGAGCTCCACCGAAGGCCCCAGTGCCGCCGCCCGCATGCGTCCCGCACACCCATTTCGGAACACCCCTCACACGTTTCGTGGCCCCATAGGGAGCTCCCCGGGGCCCTAGTGCCGCCGCTCGCAGCGTCCCGCACACCATTGGCCACCCCTCATACGTTTCTTGGCCCCTAGGAGCCCACCAAGGCCCAGTTACCACCGCCCGCGTGCGTCCCGCACACCCAATTCGGCACACCCCTCACACGTTTCGTGGCCCATAGGGAGCTCCCACCGAAGGCCCCAGTGCTGCCGGCCCGCATGCGTCCCGCACACCCAATTCGGCACACCCCTCACACGTTTCGTGGCCCCATAGGGAGCTCCACTGGAGGCCCCAATGGCGGCGCTCACATGCGTCCCGCACACCCAATTCGGCATATCCCTCACACGTTTCGTGGCCCCATAGGGAGCTCCACCGAAGGCCCCAATGGCGGCGCTCACATGCGCATGCGTCACCCACACTCAATTCGGCACACCCCTCACAAGCTTCGTGGCCCCATAGGGAGCTCCACCGGAGGCCCCAGTGCCGCCGCCCGCATGCGTCCCGAGCACACCCCTCACACGCTTCGTAGCCCCATAGGGAGCTCCACCGAAGACCCCAGTTGCCGCGCTCACATGCGTCCCCACTACCCATCCCAGCACGCCCCTCACAGGTTTCGTGGCCCGATAAAGGGGGCTCCACCGAATGCCCCAATGGCACCGCCCGCATGCGTCACCCGCACACACTTCGGCACACCCCTCACACGTTTCGTGGCCCCAGAGGGAGCTGCACCGAAAGTCTCAGTGGCGGCGTTCACATGCGTCCCCGCCACACATCCCTGTACACCCCTCACACGCTTCGTGGCCCCATGGGGAGCTGCACCGAAGGCACCAGTGGCGGCACTTACATGCGTCACCGCCACCCATCCCCGCACCCCCCCCGCATGCTTCGGGGCCCCATAGGGAGCTCCACTGGATGCCCCAGTGGCGGCCCTCACATGCGTTTCCGCCAATTCGGCACACCCCGCACGTGTTTCATGGCCCCATATGGAGCTTCACCGAAAGCCCCAGTGGTACCCATCTCGGCTCACCCCTCACCCGTTCCGTGGTCCTATGGGGAGTTCCACTGAAAGTGACGCCCACTGCTGCGGTATTCACAACTGCATGTGGTTGGGTTCTTCGCCAGGCTAATGTTTTGTTTGTGGGCTCCGCCCCGGATCGACAGAATACGCCCGCAGGACGAAAGAGCGGGATGGGGGACAAAGAGGGGAAAGGAGGAGGCCAACAACACCAGGTGGCAAATCGCGCCCTGCGCTGCTGCAGGCGCTGCGCGGTCTCGCACTCACTCACGTGCGCGCGCCGAAGTGTGGGATCCTCACGCAAGCCCGGCACTCTGGGACATGGCCGCCACGATCCTGGGATGCAGAATTACAAACAGCGCGTCCGACTAGCACTGCTACCGATCGCCACCACCAAACACACTTTCTGATCACGAGCCTGGTCACGGTGCCATATCTCATATCTTGTGCGATCAATGCGCCACGCGGCCAAGGCGACGGGATCATGTGATCGGCGACCAGGGATCAGACTCAACTCTTTGAAACACGATACCGCCAAGACCTCACCCTGCGCTTGCAAATGTTGGGAATCCGGCCCAGATTTTCGATGGTCATCCCCAGGAATCGCACAGGACAGCTCTGAATTCCGATGCCGACAAACCCCGAATCTAGACGGGCTTCGGTGCCCAGCACCTGTCGTGCGGAGGGCCGCATCTTGCCCGTGGCTTGGGGCTTGGTCTCAGCTGCCTGCTATGCAAGCTGAGCCGACTGATGTCCCCACTGCCCGGCGACGCTCTGACTGGTCTTGCGTGGCGGGTCTTTCTCGGATGGCCCCAGGGAACTACAGCCTGCTGATTGTGGTAAATCTCAATAGTTGTACGTTCTCTTATTTCCTGTTTTTCCCTGTCACGCAAATTTTTGATGTTGGCCGACGCGCGAAAGGCGGCCCCACAGGGTCAGATTTCTCCTGTGTGTCAGCAGTCGCCCATTTCATTCCGAATGTTGCAGTGCTGGGGTCCTGGGGCGCCGGAGCGTCGCGGGAAAAGCCTGCGTTTGATTTCGAGGGGATGCAGGAGGTCAGTTCAGCATCGGCGCTAGTATACATACACGTCGGTCGGAAGAAGTAAGACAAAAACATGAAGTAGGAAGGCGTTGAAAGTAGATCGGGCTCAGCCCCTCCCAGGGAATGGCAACACAAAGTACAAGCATATCGATTATTGAAGTGGGAAGGCGCTTGAAGTAGATTGGGATCTGGGAATCTCAAAATACCCACTCTCAACGATAGACGTGTATATTTCGATGTGAATGTGCACATATATACAGATGTAGGATTCTATATATCATATGTACATGCATACGGTCGAGAACCAACACCGTCCAACCGAATTCCGCTTGATCCCGCCTAATCGGGCCCAATCCCGTCTTGCTTTGTTCTAATACGGCTCACTCCTGGGCCTTGTGGCCTCTTCAGTCGGGCTTACTCGCCAGTCATCGTCCTTACGAAACCTCCCAGGAGTTACTTCCTCCTCCTCCCCCCCCCCCCCCTCACGACATGGATCCCCAGAGGCGAACTTGCGAAAACCAGGCTGTCCCAATCATGCAAGACGTCGGAGGCCTGGGCACGGCAGACGTTCGGAGCTCAACAGGGGGCCTCGCCTCGAGAGGAGGGGGAGGGGTTGGCAGGGCTGCTGCTCGGCCCTCCATACTCCCTCCCCTCCTCCTCCTCCTCCTCCTCCTCCTCCTCCGTCCTCTGTCCTCTGTCATCTGTCCCCCTCCTCCTCCTCCTCCTCCGTCCTCTGTCCTCTGTCATCTGTCCCCCTCCTCCTCCTCCTTCTCCTCCTCCTTCTCCTCCTCCTCCTCCTCCTGCTGCTCCTCCTCCTCCGCCTCCCCGCCTCCCCCACCTCCCCCTCCTCCACCTCCTCCTCCTCTTCTGTGAAGACGAAAGCAAGACGAGGACAGCACATACTGAGACAAATTGGGGCATCAGAGAACCTGCGAGTGGCCCGCGCAGATGTGCTCTTTTGCGATTCCAGAGCACGGCAAGCGCAGCTCGCGTATGCGTGCTAATCGCGCAAGAACTCAGGAAGACCTGAATCCAATTCAGCCGGCCTGTGCAATCATTCACACGCTGGATCAGTGACGATGGCGGTGCATGTCCTGATGGCAGTGCTTCGATTCAGCACAGAACCGCCAAAGAAACTTGAACAAGCGCTAGATCAGCCTTGTACATGGAGCCCCGTGCAATGCACATGGGGATTTCGGAAGCAGGCCAGCTTCTTGGAAGCTGCTGATGAAATGCTGGGCCAACTCGAGGAGGACTGGTTTCTTGATCGGCGCATCTGTATCGGTGTCAAAGGGAGGAAGTTGAGGAGGAGGAGGAGGAGGAGGAGGAGGGGGAGGAGGAGGAGGAGGAGGAGGAGGAGGAGGAGGAGGAGGAGGGGGAGGAGGAGGGGGAGGAGAGGAGGAGGAGGAGGAGGAGGAGGAGGAGGAGGAGGAGGAGGAGGAGGAGGAGACTGCAAGGAACATGGCGCCGTGCCATCTCTAGGATTTGAACAGTGAATAGCCAGAGACGCTTAAGCCAGCCTGGCCTACCCTCGGGCCTGTCCTGGGCGACCAGGTTTGACTTTGGGATCTTCTGGGAAGATGCGGAAGAGGAGGCGCCCTCCCGTCCTCTCGGCGCCCTGTAGCCCTCCATCTCTCCTTGGGGCGAGATCCGACCAGGATTCTGAGGCGAACCCAGTCTTGGTGGCGAGGGCTCCCAAGAGAGCCCCAAGAGCCAACCAAGAGGCATCCCAGAAACCCTTGTATGCTTATACGTGGCACCCCGCAGTCGCGGATAACAGGGACGGGGCGGCGGGGACGTTTGCGGTCTGCGCGGCTCTGAAGAAGCCCGCCGCCGGCACCCAACTCTAACAAAGTATCAGAGCGAGGGGGCTAAACGGTCATTCACTGTTCCAGGGTTCGTGACTGAAATGGGAATCCGCGATGCGGATTCTTCTTGTTGTTGTGGTTTGTTGGTTTGCTGGTTTATTTGTTTGTTTGCTTGCTTGCTTGTTTGTTTGGTTGATGTTGCTGCTGCTGTTGTTGTTGTTGCTGCTGTTGCTGTTGTTGTTGCTGTTGTTGTTATTGTTGTTGCTGTTGCTGTTATTGTTATTGTTATTGTTGTTGCTGCTGCTGTTGTTGTTATTGTTGTTGGTGTTGTTGTTGACTGTGACTTACTAGGCAACTATTATTGGACCCCCCAGGCGCTTTCGCGCTCTCGCCACGACGCCGGCTACATTTTCATTGAAAATTGGGCTCACGCTCGAGCGGTCGGGGGGGCGCCAAAACCGGCCCCCCAACAACAACAGCGCTCCCGCTCGAGATGTCCTCCTTTTTTGCTCAGGGCAGATGCTCTTGCTCGCCGCCGAAAGCCGCGTCCCAACAACACCAGCGCTCCCGCTCGAGACTTCCTCCCGTTGTACCTTGGACTGGCGCGATACTCTTTCTCTCATCGGCGCCGACCCCAGCAAGAACAACGCTCCCGCTCGAGACTTCCTCTCTTTTTTCACTCAAGGCGGTGCTCCTCCTCGCCGCCGAAAGCCGCCGCCCCAACACAACCAACGCTCCCGCCCGAGACTTCCTCCCGTTTTACGCTGGACTGGCGCCCGACTCTCTTTTGAATTGGCGCCGCTCCCAGCAAGAACAACGCTCCCGCTCGAGGCTTCCTCCATTTTTCCTCAGGACGGTGCTGTTCCTCGCCGCCACAGCCCCCGTCCCGACAAAACCACGGCTCCTGCTCGAGGCTTTTCCCCTTCTTCCTCAAGGCAGTGCGCCTCCTCGCCGCCGACAACCGCCGTCCCAACAAAACCAGAGTTCCCGCTCGAGACTTCGTTTTGTTTTACGCTGGACTGGCGCCCTACTCTCTTCAGCATTGGCGCCGCTCCCAGCAACAACTGCGGCCCTGCTCGAGACTTCTTCCCCTCCTATTCAGGGCCAGGTCCTTGTCTCGCCGCCGACAGCCCCCATCCCCACCAAGGCAATCCTGACGCTCGATACTTCCTTGTGCTTTACCCTTGGCTGGGGCTCCACTGGCGGTCCCGCATCGGCGCATCAAGGCGCAGGCATGTGTTTTCGAGGCGGGATATGTTGAAAGCCCTCGGCGGAGGAGCTTGCAAGACCTCATTGGGCGGGAGATCTGGGAATGGGAATAACGGACCCCGCTGTAGAACAATAATCCCCCATGATGGGGATGGTTATCATGATGGTCGCATGCATCGTGTGGAAACATCGCGCAAGAGGGTAAACTGATTGTTGATGTTATTGTTGCTATTGTTGTTATTGTTGTTGTTATTGTTGCTGTTGTTTGCTGTTGTTTGGCGTCGTCCCCCCCGCGACCCCGCCCGCGACCCACCCGCGACCCACCCGCGACCCACCCCGCGACCCAACCGCGACCCACCTGCGACCCACCCCGCGACCCGCCCGCGACCCACCCGCGACCCACCCGCGACCCGCTCGCGACCCACCCGCGACCCACCCGCCACCCACCCGCAACCCAGCCCGCGACCCACCCGCGACCCACCCGCGACCTCCCCGCGACCCACCTGCGACCCACCCGCGACCCACCCCGCGACCCACCCCGCCACCCAACCACATCGTTTAACGAGAATTTGGCGCCGGCGGGCTCGTTGTACGTTGCACCCCGCAGTCGCGAGGGGGTGGGCGGGTCGCGGGGTGGGTCGCGGGCCCGGTCGCGGGTGGGTCGCGGGTGTGTCGCGGGTGGGTCGCGGGTGGGTCGCGGGCCCGGTCGCGGGTGGGTCGCGGGCGTGTCGCGGGGGGGTCGCGGGCGGGTCGCGGGTGAGTTGCGGGTGGGTCGCGGGCGTGTCGCGGGGTGGGTCGCGGGCGGGTCGTAGGTGGGTCGCGGGGTGGGTCGCGGGGTGGGTCGCGGGCTGGGTCGCAGGGTGGCTCGCGGGCGGGTCGCAGGGTGGGTCGCAGGGTGGGTCGCGGGGGGGACGACGCCAAACAAAAATACACAAACAAACAGACAGACAGACAGACAGACAGACAGACAGACAGATAGACAGACAGACAGACAGACAGACAAACAACAACAGCAACAGCAACAACAAGAAGAATCCGCATCGCGGAATCCAATTTCAGCCACGCACCCAGGGACAGTGAATGACCGTTCGGCCCCTCACTCTGATGTATTCAATAGGCCTCTGGTCCACCACCCGAGCACGGTGGCGGGATGGGCCGAATGCCACTAAGTCCGCCGCCCCCTGTCGATTCATCGCAGGGGTGCCTGGCGTGCTGGATCTTATCGATTTTGGTTTTGGTTCTTTTAAAAAGACTCTCCCAGTGGGTTTCGGCCCGTCCCGCTGGCCGCCCCCCAAGACCCGCAAGACGCAGTATTTTTGAATATTCCTCCTGTAGAGGGACAAGCCCGACTTGAAGCATGTCGCTCCGCTCCGCGGGGAGGGAGGCTCGGTAACCCGCGGGACGCGGACGCCTGGGGACCTGGATTTGGACAACGTGGCGCACCGAAACGTGGTGGGCCAGAACCAGCGGAGCGACACGCTGACCCATACAACTTTCAGACCGTGTGGCTCACATACCCTGAGACAGCGACATGGGGCAGGAGGAGGAACAGGCCAGAGGACAAGGAGGAGGAGGAGGAGGAGGAGGAGGAGAAGGAGGAGGAGAAGGAGAAGATGGGGGAGAAGGAGGAGGAGGAACAGGCCAGAGGACAAGGAAGAGGAGGAGGAGGAGGCGGAGGAGGAGCATGCAGGCATGGTAAGGCCCCGGGCTGCGCAGAGACAGCCCCCCCATGTTGTTCGCAGCGACAGCCCCCCGCATGTTGTCCCAGCTGGCCTCAGCAGGCCCCTCGAGTAGCCCCAACTGGCCTCAACAGCCCCCTCGAGTAGCCTCAGCAGCCCCTCGAATAGTCCCGGCTCTCAGCAGCCTGGCTGGCCTTGCTGTGCCAGCTGGCCTCAGCAGCCCCATGTTGTCCCGGCTGGCCTCAGCAGCCACTCGAGTAGTCAGTCCCAGCTGGCCTCAGCAGGCCCCTCGAGCAGTCCGGGGCGGTCTCAACACCTCAGCCCTCGGGCGCCGAGCGCCCGAAGGGCGCAGCCCAATGCGGCGCCAGGCTGTGAAGCCCGCCGGGACCGCTCGGGGGCCTGTGGGGGACCGCCGGGACGCTACCGAGGGGGGGCTGCCTGTGCACATGCCGACGCCTTACCATGCAGGCAGGAGGAGGCCGCTCTGCAAGCCGCGCGTCCGCTTGCTCACGTAAGGGAACGAAAAACGGCATGAGCGACGATCAAAAACGGGTCTTGCGCGAGATGACATGTCGACCGTACGCGGCGGCTTACGCGGGCCACCGGCGCGGAGGAGGAGGAGGAGGAGGAGGAGGAGGAGGAGGAGGAGGAGGAGGAGGAGGATTGGAAACGAGGGCGCTTGCGCGCGAGCTTACTCGGGCAGCTCACGCGCCAATGTCGGTGCACACGACCCCGTGTTTTTGGCGCCGCCCACATGGAGTCCCGCCGCGGCCGCGACGCGCCGGCGGTGGCCGGCCTACTCCCTGGCGCTCCGCTCTTCGGCAGCCCGGTGCTCCGCGCTGGCAGCGGGGGGGCGGTGCGGGGCGGGGCAGCGGCGGAGACGGCGCGGCCTCCTCCTCCCTCCTCCTTCATCCTCCTCCTCCTCCCTCCCCCCTCCTCCCTCCTTTCCCTCCTCATCCTCCTCTCCTCCTCCTCTCTCCTCCCCTCCTCCTCCTCCTCCTCCTCCTCATCCTCTCCCTCCGTTCCCCCTCTACACTTACTCAGTATGAATACCACTCTCCTCTCTCCCTGGAGTCTGTGGCGGAATCTGTCTCGGAGTGTTCGCCCCCCCCCCCCCCCTCGCGTATGGTTTTTTCCACACAGGAAGTCGGCGAGTTGGGTCTCCGGTTTTTTATGCTGCTCTCGCTGAGGCGCTGGCCTCATTTTCGGGCATCCGTTCGTTCCGAATCGTGCTCCCGCTGCAGCGCTGGCTTCATTTCCGCGCTTCCGCTCATTCCGAATCGTGCTCCCGTTGCAGCGCCAGCTTCATTTCCGCGCTTCCGCTCGTTCCGAATCGTGCTCCCGCTGCAGCGCTGACGTCATTATTTCCAGCGCCATGCCACGGCATGGTTTTCGGTCCTTCCAAATAGGCCCCTAGATCTAGAAAATGGCCCCCCCGAAACAACCATCGGAAGTGATCATGCATTCGGTGTCGATTCGTTGATCTTTGGGGGCCGCAGAAGCACACCCCCACTTTGGGGCGTCGCCACACCATTCTGTGTCAGGCTACGCGTTGACCTTCAACACCATGCTATGCCATGTAATGCTATGCCCTGCTACGACATCCGACTGTGCGAATAGAGAGGAGATCTACGCCATGGTACGGGATGGGAGGGAGGGGTAGGACGTCAGATATGACGCGAGCGCACCTAGCTTGTCCTCCCCCTCCCCTTCCGCCTCCTCCTCCTGCTTTTCCTGCTTTTCCTCCTCCTCCTCCCCCTCCGTTTGTCCGCCAGCGGCAAGCTACGGCGTAGACATGGCAGGACTGCGCCGACAGGCGCAATTAGGCAGCGTGAGGGCAGCTGAATTGTTGAAGCGCCTCGGGGGGAAACCACCTTCAGGCAAGCGGGAATGATTGGGCGTTCTGCTCGGTTTTACTCAGCACGGCTGATATTGTGCCAACCTAGCTATGGGCCAAGGGGCCCGTGCGGAGATATCACGGAGACCTGTTCGCGGCGTTGTGCAGCGGATTGGTCTGATAAAGGATGCAGGCCTCGCCTGTTCCGCTCTCGTCGCCACTACCCCGCTGGACCCCTGGCCCCAGGTCCCCGCCCCCTCTCCTGGCGTCCTGGCCTGGTGCCTGGAGGCGTTTATGAGGGATCCTAGGAGTTTCCCTAGCCTGACTGATCTTTTTTTTAGAGTGGGCATTGCCTACAAACCGACTGGCGGGTGTGGGCGGTGGAGCGGGGAGCTTGGAGTGGGCTGGAGCCACTCGTGCAGCAACACTGATGCGTCGAGGTTTTTAAACATCAATTTGGAGTTTGAGAGCCTCGCCCGAGTGTGAGGGGGATGCACCATAGTGTGATACAGCCGGAGCCCTGAAGAAGGAACCCTTTTCGTTGGGGAGGGGCTCCGTGTTCCTTATTTGTTCCGCAGCTTGTCTAAGATGTTCCTTAAGTTTCCCATGGGGAATCGAAGTTTAACTTATGGAAAAAAGGGGCCTCGTTCCTTATTTAGGGTTCCTTAGGTCAACGCCCCGACTGTAACCCCTCACCCGTCCAGAGCTGTTGACGTCGGAGGGAATTCGGCCCCAGCGTCGAAGAGCGGGCCCGAGGGGCTCAATAGGCCATGGGTCCCGCAGAGGCTCCCCTCTGCCACGCCGAGTGATCTAGCCGCCAGCAGCGAACAGCTCGAGCTCCAGGCGAGCGGCCTCGTTTCAGCCGTCGAGACACAGGAAAACCGAACTGCCAAGGCTTCCTCCTCCTCCTCCTCTTCCCTGCTCTTCCCCCTCCTCTTCCCTGCTCTTCCCCCTCCCCCCCCCCCCTTCCTCCTCCCTCCACCCTCCTCCTCCTCCTCCCCTCCTCTCCTCCTCTCCTCCTCCTCCTCCTTCTCGTCCTCGTCCTCGTCCTCGTCGTCGTCCTCCTCCTCCTCCTCCTCCTCGTCGTCCTCCTCCTCGTCCTCCTCCTCCTCCTCCTCCTCCTCCGCCTCCTCATCTGCCTCCTCATCTGCCACGAACGGGCAAAACCTGCTGGGCGGCCTCCTGCCGATCCTCCTCTTCCGCTGTCTCCCTCTCCTCCTCCTCAGATGATTATTCTTCTTATTATTCTGATTATTCTTCGTATTGTTCTTCCTCCTGATCCTCCCTCCTCCTCCGGAGGAGGGGGGAGGAGGATGAAGGAGGGTGGATCAGGAGTACTAATGAGAAGAATACCAAG